TCCTAGCTCATTTTAGAGCATCAAACGAGTTTTATCATTCCTTAATGTCTTCAGAAACGTCTTCAGATATTTTGCACTAATCTTTGTCCTGCTCTAAAATGAGCTAGGAAGCTTCAATCGAACTTTTGAAACGGTCAAAATTTATTAAAATTTGACAAGGAATTCAAAAAAAATATTTTCAAATTTTTTCACCGGAACCATCGGGTTCTAGGAACCATTTTTTGTTAAAAATAGCATTTTTCGGCCCTAGAAGCTATCGCCTTCAATTAAAAAATCTGAAAAAATTTGAGATTACGTATTTTGATGAAAAAAACAAGAAAAAATTTTTTTCAGATTTTTCGAGGCTCCGTACTGTCCTAAAAAAATTATTTTCGTCAAAAAAATCGGTTTTTGGCTTCAAAAGGTGCGTTAGGTAATCTGAAAAAATCTGAAAAAAATTGAGGTTATGTTTTTTAATGCGAAAAATAACTGAAAAAATTTCCGAGTACTACATCGGCTCATACCGCCGTATCTCGATTTTTGAAATTTTCAATGATTTTATCTGAAGGCCTGAAGCACTCAAAAAATCTGAAAAAATTCAAGGTTGTTTGGATTGTGGAAAAGTATTTTTATGAATTTTTTCAGATTTTTTACTTGCTTCATGTCCTCAGAAAAAATATAGATCGAAAATGGACGTTTATACCGGAAGTGGGGGGTAGGAGGGGGGAGGGGGTCTAAAATTTTGTTTTTGGGACCTATTTACCATGTACTATAACATACCGAAAGCGCGTCAAGATCGGTGACATACGTGCGCACGGTTTTGTAAAAAAGTATTATTTTGACCCATATTCATGAGCATCATCACTATTGTTGCAAACACACGTATTTAATAATTAACTATAGATTTTTTCGTAACAATGCAATATTTTATGTTCACAATTTAATATTTGCGCTGAGCTTTGGACACATGCATTATCGAGATTTGAATTCGTTTCGACGTTTCATAAAGATTTCATTAAAAATATACAATAGAAAAAAGAAAATTAAAGTGACGTTCTCTGCGCATGAATGAAATAAAAAATATGGTAAGCATTATTAATATTGAACGAAATGAAGAACCTTTTACCAGGGTATACACGAAAGCGAAAAATTATTTTCGTACTTGAAGGGCTAAGAACATTTTTACTTTGAACTCGTCACTTCGGTGCAAATGGCATACCTGAATGAATTTTTCCAATATTTTCTCACAAAGTTTTACTTGAGCTATTCATTAAAATGCATCGCAATGTCTCGAAGTATAAAAAATGCGCATAAATTATCGATTTTCTCGTGATTCAGAAAATTTATCGTAGCCGAGAAAGATCAATTGCAAATTCATACAGAATCGATGACATTATAAAAATTTTTTGAGTAGTTTTGCCAGGCATATATGTCACGAGATTTTTTAAAGCACTTCCTTGAAGAGAAGAAAAAATTAACATACATCTTGCGGCAGTGCTGATAAAAAAGCCTGCTCGCATATACTAAAATTATTATCATAGAAATTAACCCGTGAGAAACGATCGATAAAAATTGAACTAACAAAGAGTTCGAGTTCATAAAATTATTACTCACAAGAAAAATGAAAGGACGAGTAAACTTAAAAAAATCTGCCTTGCCTGTTGACTTAAGTAAATATATATTATTTTTATCAAACAACGGCAGATGCTTTGCAACTATTTTAGTGACCTCGTCACATTTTACGCGCGTAAGTTAGTTTTATTCACGCTTACAAAGAAACACGTTCACTAGAAATTATACAAATTGAAAACTTTTTGAATCTTTTAGAATTTAAAATTTCTTTCGACTAAGTACTATTTTCATAAGGCTTGCGCGGAAAATATTTTTGAAAAAAACGTAAGAAGTTATCTATTCATTTTTGTTCTCTAGATGTTTTTGTATAAAAAAGCCGTCCTTAAAAATGTTTATACCATCCTAACATCAGTGTTATCGGTAATTATAACTTGACTTAATTAGACTTTTGAATTATTTTGTAATTAATTATTTATATGATTAGTTTATATGAATCTTATTTATAATTGGGACTAGGCTGTGAAATTATAAAAAAAATGTATACATTTTCAAACTCTGCTCTGCTTCAGTGAAAAAAGGGATTTCTCTTAAAGATTTTGAGACCCCACAAATAATTTGACGAAGACCGCAAGACAGAATCGAGAAGCAAACCAATTCATGTTACAGCATAGTGTATTACGAAATGAGTAATATGATTGAGATTTTTAAGCTCGGATAAAATTTTTTGTCGGTCAATCAAGCGTAGCATGAACATATTTTACTATCATAAAAAATTTTCAACTACTTTGATTCATATGGCCATTTTTCAAGTTCATCTCAAAACACTAGTTTGTCCTCTTAATACTTTACTATGTTACTACATAGTATGTAAGAAACTATAAGAAAAAATCTTTGAACAAAAACTCTACAAACTTATTCACAACTTGATAATGTCCAATTGCGAATAAAGAGTAAAAATGTACTTTTAAGCAACAAAGAAGCGCTTTTCTATGCATTACAGCAATACTTTTGGATACATTTTCGACCAAGCAAAATAAAACTATTTCATGCTAGATACATCGCGACAAAATATTTTTACCATGTGGTGTCATTATTAAATATTCAATTTCAATGAAAAATGCCAAGAAGATTTGACAAGTAGTATATATACGAAGATATTTGCATGTGGCATAAGTTGTACTGGTTTAAATCCGTCGAATCGGTCGTGCATCATGTGCATAATAGGAGGTCGTTATTCGGCGCACACACCATCGGCATCGACGGCACGAATTCAACGCTGGATTATCATACATGTGCACTTTTTACCGTACAGATGAATGGCAGACAAGGCCGTGCCACTCTATCGACTCTCGCAAATGCGAACCTTATTTACAATATTAATATGTAATGTAAAACACTTATGATATTAGCATTAAAATAAGAATGATCTTCCATTAATCATGTGCTATGATTTATGACTATGAATTGGTATTCCAATCGTCTCTATAGCAAGAATCGAGTGATGAAATGATACGCTTACTATGCATTATTGCAGGATATTGTCATTGGAACTTGGGATTATATTGTACCAAAAAAATAGTAATCCATTAATATACACTCGGCAACAAAATTATCGCAACAAAAAAATTCATCGAAATTTTGTCGATTTTCAAATGCTTCTATCTTGGGCTAGATTTATTGTATCGACACGCTTTTTTTTTTAATTTCTTGGAAATTTTGTCCTCTTTAAATCCATATAAATTAAGATAAGATTTGAGTTAATGTTGAGTTACCAGTAGTATTTGAGCGTGACCCTAAAAATTACTGAAAAAAAATGACTGTTTGAACGTGTATCAGTACCACAGTGATTTTTTTATCGAAATCTTACATACACCATCGCAAAGTGCTCTTTTCAACGAGTAATTTAAAAAAAAAAAGACCTCTCTACGATTTTTTTAACGCTCTGTAGGTCGTTTTGAAGATACCATTTAAAGTACGTAAAATCCCCCGTTTACCTGAAATCAAGACGATTTTCTGGGCATTTTGCGTACATAAACCGTACCTTCAAATCGACCTACAGAGCGTTAAAAAAATCGTAGAGAGGTCTTTTTTTTTTTAAATTACTCGTTGAAAAGAGCACTTTGCGATGGTGTATGTTAGATTTCGATAAAAAAATCACTGTGGTACTGGTACACGTTCAAACAGTCATTTTTTTTCAGTAATTTTTAGGGTCACGCTCAAATACTACTGGTAACTCAACATTAACTCAAATCTTATCTTAATTTATATGGATTTAAAGAGGACAAAATTTCCAAGAAATTAAAAAAAAAAGGGTGTTGATACGATAAATCTAGCCCAAGATAGAAGCATTTGAAAATCGACAAAATTTCGATGAATTTTTTTGTTGCGATAATTTTGTTGCCGAGTGTATAAGCTAAGCTTTTCGTTGAACAAAGATTTTTTTTAATTAAAATCAATTTAAAAGGTGCAAGCTCTATTCTAAAATGATTGAACTAATTGAGTTGTCTATTGTTCCAGAATCATACCTTTTACGTTTAATTTGTTTTTCATTTTTTATAAAGGTGTATCCTCAATTGGAACGTTTTCAATTATCTTGGACAATGAACAAGAAGAATTATGTTTGCCTAGGAAAAATTATCTGTACTCATTGTAAATTTCATAATAAATGAAAATCATTTTTTTCATAAAATTTCCAAAAATCAATTTTTATTGCGTTTTTCAATTATCCTTCTGGAATTACCTTCCTAATTTAGTATAAAAATTTGAAGCTAAAGTCAGTCAAATTCAAAATTAAGCTCAAGTGTGTAAACGGCTCTTAAAGTCAGTTGAAAACTTTAAAGTTGTCTGGGGGGCAGTTAATCTCCGGGCCTCCACTCAGCCAATCCTAACAAAATTTTGTTTGTATTGTAAAAAATAATTAGGTAATGAAGAAGTTTAAATACGTACATGTCCAAATTTGAGTAGCATTACTACTTTTAAGATACTACTTGTAAAGTGGTGTAGGTTAAAATATTTGTTCAGCTGTAGGATTTAGTTGTAATCAAAAGCGACGAAATAGTGCAAAAAAGTAATTAAAGAGGTGGTTAGTGGAAAGATCAGTAGTTTGAGGAGAGTCTTTGGCAGCGTCTACGATGGAGCTCTCGGCTTCGATGTTGGAAAGGTAAGCAGCATTGACCGGAGCGTAGATGAATGAAAGCTGGCGAGCGCGTGCGAACGAGGCGAAATCCGCAGACGCGCGAGTGGCTCGACTCGATATAGGGCCAGTCGCAAGCTGGCCGTACCGTCATCGTGCGCGGCTCACACAGCCTACGATAGATAGGGGTGAGCCGTAGCGACAGTCGCGAGTGCAAAGCTGCGCAGGGAGGCTTGCGCGCGCACGGACACCCGCGCAGCTATAGCAGTATTATTCAGCAGCAAAAGTTTACTGCTGCTACTACCGTTGGCGAAAAGCTCGTTCGCCCGAGTCTCGGTGTCAAGCACTCCAAGTATACCCACAGTCCGAACCGCATCGCGATTCGCGAGCACAAAATCTGCACCTGTCTCGCGATACGAGCAGCTCGAGCAAAGTTAAAATAACCATTGCAATCGAGTCTTTATTAATTGTTTGTGTCTCATTCTCGAGTCGATCCGGGCAGTGAATTTGGCCCAGTTGACAGATACGCCTGCATTTTTTGCGCGACAACGTGCGCCAAGAGTTTCGCGAGCTGAACCAAGCTATAACCTGCAACGTGCGCCAAGTGTCGAGTGTGCAGCGTGGCGTTGTCGGATTTGCTTGGGCAGTTGGTTTAGAGCTATGTCGGAGCTCGCTGCTTCCGGAGCGGCACGATGACTCGCCTGGCTCTCTCGACTGAGCAGCCGCATTCAAAGGGCCAATGGCTTGCGACGAGCAGGATAGTTCAGCGATGACGAGCGAGCGTCTGCAGCATCGACAAGCCAAGCAATCTCCGCAACGTCGAGCGAGTGAAAGAGTGAATATGAACTCCGCTCGTCGCCACAACAATAACAAAGTCGGCTCAGCAACGAGCAGAGTCTCGTCCCAGTCGTCCGTGTCGTCTTGCTCGTCGTCGTCTGCCTCGTCGTCTCTTTCGTTCTGCCAGCCGGACAAAAACGACTCCTCCTCCTTGAGCTGCAGCTTCGACAGTGCGGATCTCGCTGCGCTTTCAACGACCGCCAGCTGCAAAATTAGCCATCGAAACGATGACAGCGTTGCTCCTTCTGCCGTTCCGACGACGGCTATAGCGACGTCTGCTCGTCAGCTGCGTCCTAGCAAACGAGTGAGTATGATTTACCTATTAGAGCCGCAATGCTTGGGTTGCGAATCGAACGGAAAAGACAAAAAAAAAAGTAAATAGCTGCTGCTTCGTGCGCCAACATTATTGTCGTAGCTATAGCTGCGCTGCCAGTGCAGTAGTAGTAAGTCTAAAGTTATAGTAGTATAGTAGATGAGGTTGTGGGTGAGGGTGACGAAAGCACGAGAGCTTGACGTAGGCGCTAGGCGGCTATGACGGCCTGACGAGCGATGACGATGCATGTGCAAACGGATCACATGGCCCCTTATCTCAATGAGTAGTTATATATATTGGAGATGCACTTACAACTTTGGCCTCGCTGCGCAGCTACTTTATTTTCCTTCTCTATCTTTTTCTGTTTTCTTTTTTTTTTTTTGCTTCGACCGACTCGCTGGTTGCTCGTCCAACTACGACTCGTTGGTGCGTTTCGCAGCTTTATCAAGTCCGGCGGTAGCGGCCAAGTCTTTAGCTAAAATCCGACACGGGCCAATCGACATTTCTGTCACGTAGCGTATTATAAGCCATATCTCACGCAAGCTCGGGACCGACGTAGTTGGGCTGGCATTATTTTTTACGATTAATCATCGCTTTGCCCTCTGGCTAGTGCCTTTATCACTATCTCGTGTATATGTATGTGCTAAAAGTCGGTGCGTAGAAGCATACAAACGAATCCAACGAGGAAGTTCGAACCTCGTAACCTAGTTTTATCAGATAACGCGAGCCAAGGCATATATACACCCTTGCGTATAATATATATATATACTGCATGTGTGCATATGGCTATATAGGAGTAGCAGCTCGTAGTAGCCCCCCATACACCCATGCGCTGACCTGGAGTGCATCGACTGCTGCTGCTGCTGCTGCTGCTGAGTAGTGGGTAATGCTGCGCACCCCACACTGCACCTACACCTAAAACCAGTACCCACACAGTCGCGTGGAATATTGCAGCTGTGAGCTGCGACGAACTGGATGCACTGCAGCTGCGGCAATGCTATCGATCAAGCTGGTCGTTGACATAAATGCGTCTATTTTTAATGGCCCAAAACTCTACATCTTCCTCAACATGCAAACAACTAATTCAACTGCTTATCTTTTTTCACATTCAAAAAACATACGAGTTTTACTCATCCTCTGAATTTTCGTTCATTTCCAGTATGCAAAGGAACGTATATATCTTTCAATTACCATGCAAACTTTAGCATGTTAACTTCCTCCAGCATTTGACATTTTCGTTTATTTATTTATTAGCTTAAAATAACTTATTAAGCGGTCGCATTTTCACGATTTCTAAAAGCTTTTGTATTGCTGTGGCTTACTCGAATTTTATATGCACTTACTCGGTAAAACTTTTTATTAGCTCCTAGAGCGTCTCATATAAGGCGCAAAGATGTGCTGTTGCTGTACTGGTTAGATTTTCGAGAAGTGAGAACTTGTGAAAAAGTTTTTTATATCTTTTTTTTAACTCTTTCCATTTGCGGATTTTTCTGATTCTGTATTTTTGATAAAATCAGATAACATTAAAAATAAATGAAATTTCTGCTGTGATTCATCAAAAATACAAAATGTCCTGTATATTAACTCAAAAAAGGAAATCAACTGAGAAAAGCATCTTTTAGTCCAAAAACACAATTCTATTAAAATAAATTCTGAATTTCATCGGCGGTAATAAAGAAATATGGCACATCACTAATTCGTTTACAGTCGTATTTTAAACAAGCAACCAGTTAGTAATTCAGTTATTAACATAATTTAATTGTACAAGACAAAAAGGTTGCACGTGTACTAGATTACCGAAGCTAAGTATTACTGCACTAGCCACGTTTTCAGTTTCCAATGGTTCTAAGTTGAAAGTACCTTTTTCTTTTTGCTACTTTTAATCTCATGTGTTGTAAAAATTGCATAAATATTGTATGTAAATGATGTGAATATGCTTTCACATGAAAGCACGCTGACAAACAATTGATTCAACGAATAACTCGTGCATTAAAAAGTATGAAATTGTTTGAATTTTTGAGTAGGTTTTTGTTTGAGTTTGGGCTTCTTAAAAATGCCTATGAAAATGAATCACAGGCACAAAGTACGGATGTGATAAAAAATGAGCTTTTTGCAAGTTTGATCAATTGTTGGGTGTAAAGTTGAATTTAAATAATCTTTGCCATCTAGACAAATGTACATAAATGTGTGCGTATGTGTGTGTGTGTGTGTGTGTGTGCTACTGGTACGTCGGAGACATTAAGTAGGGCGAGTTGGAAAGAGAACGGCAGTACGTAGAGAAGCTAGCGGGCGCACGGATAAATCGATAAGTTGTCTTTAGCAAGCCCCTCCTCGTGCACGCGGCCCTATAGCTTTGCCTATTGCGCTCGCTGCAGAAATATGTCTGTGTGTATGTCTTACGTACTGCACGTATCCAGAGACGCAGGCGCTAAGCTTTCATTCATGCTTACCTACAGCTTTTGCGCGCGCGCGAGCGACAATATGCTCCGCATTGCCCGGCTAGTTTATACTTGTCTCTATGCGTGCTTTACGTCCATTCGCTTTTTTTTTAATATACCTCTTCTTGTGGAGGCTTCGCCGTAGCTCACTGCCTTTGTAGCTCGATGCTGCCTTGGTGGACAAACAACCAACTACATTATATGCACAGTCAACTGCTCCTACCTACCGTATATGCAACTGCGCATTACCAATTCCTAAAAATTACATCTACCCATGCATTTAACAAGTAGAACGAGTGCGAGTTTCAACTGGCGCTCCGTCCACATGCTTACCTGTCTTTACCATTCATTTTAATTCAATTTTTTATATGTAAGACAAGTTTTTCTAATTCTCTATTTAGTCATCATATAAGGATTGGATTGGTTGCATGGAAAATTATCGTCGATCAATTAACAACGCACGCACATGCTTATAGCGCTCAACAGTACACAATGAATAATAATTTCATTGACCAAAAAATAGAACATATTCATTATTTTAGCATATATCTCGATGTATATAGATGATTATAAAAAAAACTGTTGCCGGTTAAATTTAACCGTTTAAGCTGGCAGACCTTATTTTCCATAATAACCGTATGTTCAATTTCATAAAATCAGTTTTATGTTCGTTTTTGTCTACCTACCAAACGTTGAAATCTCTCAATAGAAGAAAACTTTCTCAGTGCCGGTATTGTTCTCCATTGCGAGGTTTTACGGTGTTTACGAAATTGTTCGATGGATCATTCAAATATACTAGACAAAATAAAACAAATTGGCACCGTTGCATTCTCAAGTTCTCGTCAAGCATTCTAAAAGTTGTATGTGATAAGCAATAAGAAAGTTGCACTAGCGCCATACTGATTTTTCATTTCTACTGTTTGTTTATTTAAAAAAAATGATGTTGCTCGTGTGATAAATAACAAACGTAGAATCAGTAGTTTTTCCTCAATAATAAAATTTCAAAAGCGAAAAATCAATATGGTTGTGCTAAAACTTTCTCATTGTTCATCATTTACAACTTCCTGAATGCCCATGTTTGCAAAAAACCTCGTATTCAGAATATATAAAAGCCGCAAACTTAGATGGTCCAATTCAACGGTCTGTGTAAACTACAACACCAAATTTCCTTTTTTTCTGATAATCACTCATATATATTGACGTGAGAGTAATGACAATCACTTACTACTCAATGCGATCGTGACGTGTTTATTTTGTATTACACGAATACTTATGTCAAAGTCGAAGTAGTTACTTGGACGAGAAATTTTACAACGATAATATCGTTTCGATTTATTTCACGCAAGTTAGTAATGCAGTTGATCTTAATACTGGATAACGCGATAACGATTTCTTTTTATTGCTTCTCTCTGTACTTGCTTGAATTTAAGCTGGATAGCTTCATTGATTTCGCGATATTGTATGTGCATCGCCACACGATATTTCAATCAATTACTGCTATTGTTATAAGAATACTATCAAACATTCTGGGCAAAGAAGAAATACAATACATATTTGTAGACAAGTGAGAAAACTAATTTTTTCTAGTGCATCTACAAGTTGTGAGATTTCTCCATTTTATGGCATCGAGAGTGAATACAATTACTTCAGGTGTTAATGTTGTTATATTAACTTGTTCTTTCAGCTAGGTCAACAAATATTTAAAGCTCGTTTTTTTCATTACTTCTTCGACTGTTTGATCGCGTTATATTTCATTCAAAAAATGAAAGTAATTGTTATTTATGCAATAAGTATGATATTACGCACAAATTCGAGGCATTTTACCGTAGATCAGTATTCAAAATCGCGCTTTGTCCACGAAAAAATTCCTGAAAATAGTAACTTACGATACAAGTACCATAAGTAACAAAATTTTTGTCATGGCGAAATTATTATAAGGGTCGGAGCGCAAGCATGAGTATCATACTCAATTTTATTATGCATTTATGCAGTGAGGTGCTTTTTACTACCAAATAAAATCGACATTTTATTTTCCTATAACGTTTAGTTATTCAAAATGGTAATAATAATAATAATAATAATAATAATAATAATAATAATAGAAAAAAACTGATAGAATTTTTATAGTCTGAACACGTCAGCCCTGTAGTAAGGAATGGAAAAACGAGAGCAAATGTGAGAGGTTACTCGAATATAATGTAGGTTGCAAAAAAGTATTAAATGTGAGAAAAAAGTGTGCATAGATTGTCGAGGCGGCGCAAAGATAAGAATCGGGAAAAGTAGTTTTCTTTTCTTCAATTTTTCACTGGAGCATTCGCCATCGCCATCGTCACAGCTATAGAAAGGGAGCTTGCTCTGGTCGCTCTTTTCTCATTACCTAGCTCATATAGCTTGTGGATATAATACTCAGTTACACACGCGCGCTCAGACTTTTTCGCACGTTTAAGGCAGCGAATACTAGCGAGGTCTTAGGCGAGATTTAGATAAAGAACTCGATAATCTTTTGAGAATAAATCAAGAGGAGCCATTGTATGGTAACGCAAAGAAAAATAT